CTTTGTCCTGGCAGGTGGACATGGAAGGTGGGGTCCTGAGGCAGAATGAGTTGGCCCAAGGGAGGACCAGGAGGAGGCAGGAGTGGAGCGAATGAGGACGGTGGGCAGAGGTGAGGTCAGAGAAGGGACAGCAGATATTACAGAACCTCTCGCTGCAAGGCCTCAGGGGAGCCTTTGAAAGCCTGAGCAGAGCCCTGGCCGGTTGCTCAGTGGTTAGAGCGTCCACCCGAGGACCCAAGGGTCACGGGTTCATTCCAAGGGTCCATCCAGGGCACATACCTCGGTTGTGGTTGCATGTTCGATCTCTGGCCCTGGTCGGGTTAGGTTTAGTGTGTCACTCTCACATCGATGTTTCTCTCTCCCTGTCTCCTCCCTCCCTTCCACTCTGTCTGAAAATCAATGGGAAAAATGTCCTCTGAGGAGGATTAAAACAGAAAAGAAAATCTGAGCAGAGGAGGGCTGTGGTTTGAGGTGGACTTTGGCAGGCTCCCTCTGCCTGCCGTGTGGACAGTAGTCCTAGAGGCCTACCCTGGAGGGACACGGTTTTGTCTGAATGAGGTGCTCTGCACCCCTTGCCGTAGAGCAGCCCCTGCAGAACAATAATACCTGTCACCTGCGGCTATTTAAGTTCATTAACAGGAAATAAACGTCAAAGCCCCTCCCAGAACCGTGGCCCCTCCCTGCCCACGGGCTCCTGAGCTAAATACCCACTGACTGGCTCTCAGAACTTAGTGCAGAGCACGCCTGGCACCAGGCAGGTTAGGCCTCTTGGCAACCAGGCGGTAGCTCGCCTGTGAAATGGGCGCCTCCCCCAGGGGTTCTGAGAGGTAATCAAAGGCCCGGAGCCTGGACCCAGAGGGAGCCCAGCTCAGGGTCCCTCCGTGTCTGTCCCCCGAAGACTGTGAGCACGGGGGCAGGGCTGTGTCTGGGGCAGGGAGGGCCCAGGGGTTCTGGGGTGAACCATCGAGAGAACCCAGAGCAGAGTGGCTGAGGCTGCCGTCCTCCAAGGCCGCCCTCCATCACAGAAGGCTCTGGAGTTTGGCGGGAGGAGCAGGAGGCTCTGAGGAGAGAGATCCTTGCATTAAACATTGGGGAGATGAGGGGGAGAGATTAGGCAGAGCAGACACCCACCTTCTTTGAAGGGGAAGGCTGGGCCCCCACAGGGCTGGGGGACTGCCCTGAGCTTCAGTCTCTAAGTCCAGCAAGAGCCAGCTGGTGTCCAGGGCTGGGCTCCCCAGGGGCACCGGGAGCAGGCCACCTCGGGGAGCTTGAGTCTGGCAGGAAGGAGCATGCCCTCCCAGCCACCCGCTGACCAGCCCTCCCTGTGCCCAGGAGGACAGCGGGAGCGCGGGCCCCACGGAGCAGGCGGCCTGGCGGTACTCGCAGACCCACCAGGCCATCCTGGGCCCCTTCGGGGAGCTGCTGACGGAGGACGACCTGGTGTACCTGGAGAAGCAGATCGCCGACCTGCAGCTGCGAAGACGCTGCCAGGAGTACGAGAGCCAGCTGGGCCAGTTGGCGGCAGAGCTGCAGGCCCTGCTGCCCGAGCCCCTGGTGAGCATCACCGTCAACAGCCACTTCCTGCC